AAACCAAAAATCCTCACAACTGCACCAATAAACAACACTGTAATAAAAAGAGGAAGACCCCTAACGAGATGGATTGGCCATGTGGCAGAATCGATGGACTCAAGCATGGCAATAGTTAGGTTGGCCCAGGATCGTGCAGTGTTTTGTTCTGCTGTGCATAGGGTCACTATGAGTCAGTACCGACTCAATAGCACCTAACAACAACAACAAAATAAATAGAGAAAACTTGGAAGTAGCCAAGAATTTCACTTTGCTTGGATCTACAATCAGTGCTCTTAGAAGTCAAACCCACTGCGGTAGAGTCACTTCATAGTGATCCTACAAGACAGAAACGAACTGCTCGATAGGATTTCCAAGGCTGCAAATCTTTATGGAAGCAGACTTCTGCCACCTAGCGACTGGTGGGTTCAAACCACTGCCTTTCAATTAACCGCCCAACCCATAGCCCACTGTGCCCACTGGGCACCTTTCCTCATGGAAGCTGCAGTCAACAATATTTTGCGGTGGTAACATCTGCTGCAAAAGACTGTTTGAAGTGTTGAAAAGCAAAGATGTCACTTTGAAGACAAGGTGTGCCTGACCTCAGTCATGGCCTCTTCATTCACCTCATATGCATGTTTAAGCTGGACAATAAATGAGGAAGATTGGAGAAGAATTGATACATTTAAATCATCGTGTTGGCAAAAAGTATTGAATATTCATTCCCTGGACTTCCTGAAGAATGAACAGGTCTGTCTTGGAAGCAGTACTGTCAGAATGCTCCAGAAATAAGGATGGCAAGATGATTTCTCACATACTTTGGACTTGTCATTGTCTGTGTCTGATAAAGAACATCGTGCTTGCAAGAGGGTCAGCAAAAAAGAAAAAGATCTTCAATGAGATGGACTCACACAGTAGCTACAACAGTGGACTCAAACACTCAAACACAGCAACAATTGTGAAGATGGCGCAGGACAGGGTGATGTTTCGTTGTGTGCTACATAGGGTCACTATGAGTCAGAACTGACTCGGTAACGCCCAGCAACACTAATAAACTTATTTCGTCTTGATTCTGGTATGGCAGTGTGGATCAGCACTGGACAATGAACCACAAGGTCAGCAGTGCTAACCCACCAGCTGTTCCTCGGAAACCTTATACAGAAGCGCTATGAGTCAGAACCAACTCGACGACAGTTAACAACAACTACCTCTTACATAATGTGCTTCTATATCTAGCACATATTTATGTATAAATCAGGCACTGTTCTAGCTTATTAATAGTTCTGAGTTTGGGGTTTCTTTTCTTGAATGTTTTAGGAAGACAGTTATATAATCTGAAAATAATGGTCATCCCTCTCCCCTTTTTTTAACTTGTATTTTTATTTCATTGTAGTGTGTTTGGGTTGTTGTTGTTGTTGTTAAGTGCCAGTCAAGTTGATTCTGACCCATAGCGACCCTGTATAGGGTTTCCAGGGAGCATCTGGTGAGCTTGAACCACCGACCTTGCAGTTCAAACGGCTTTGCAGTCTGGTGCATTAACCCACAGCGCCACACCAGAACTCCTGTGTTTTTGTTAGAACCTTCCAAGTAAAACAGTTGTTATGAGCATCCCCACTTTGTTCAGTACATTAAAATAAATGTCTCTAGGATATTCCACTACAGTATATTGTAAATCTTGGGTTTAGATACATTTTTTTTAACTGTATTAAAGAAGTACTTAACATTGTTTATCAAAAAGATTAGGAACACTTGAATTTTATCAAAGGGTTTTTCAGTATCTAGCATGATAAAATGATTTTACTCCTTTGACCTTGTTTATTGCATTGTGGTCATTAAAAAAAAAAAGCCTATATTTGCAATTTCTTCTTTGGCTTGTGTGTTTGTTTTGTGTGTTTATGTGTTGTATATTAACATATAATGAGTCTTCCCAAATATCCTTTGAGCACTTAAAATATATATGTAATCTCTTCACTAGACTGCAGTGTTCAACATATGTTCATTGGAATTTGTGGTTTATATTATTTAAAGGCTCTATGGCTCTCCTGAAGCACAGTTTGATGGTGGTATTCTTGTCCAGCGTTATAACCACAGAAAACATTGAAGAAGCAGTGTTAATTATTTACCCTGGTTTAAGAATATTGAATCACTAAATAGTAAGAAACTAAAACTTGTATTACAATGGAAAACCTATCACAAATTCAGCAAAGTACCAAGGCACAAGGTCACCACACACAGATCATTAGGATTTTTATACCTCAGCAATGTGCAAAAGAAAAAGGATATTAAGGAAACATTGCTATTTACAATAGCATCTATAAGAATAAATTACCTAGCAACAAACGTAACCAAGAATGTGAAAACCTTGTGTACAGAAAACTCTAAAACATTGCTTAAAAGAAATCAAAGACCTAAAGAAATGACATTCCATATTCAAGAATTGGAAGGCTTAACGTAGTTAAGATGTCAATATGACCCAAAGCAATCTATAAATTTAGTGCAATTCACCAATTCCCACCAAAATTCCAACAGCCTTCTTGACAGAAATGGAAAAACCAATTCATAAATAAATAAATATATATATATATATATTTATAGCACTTAACAACATATATATAGGAGCTCTGGTAGCGTAGTGGTTACGAATCAGGCTGCAAACCCTAAGGTCAGAAGTTCAAAACCACCAGCCGTTCCGCGGGAGAAAGATGAGGCTTTCTACTCCCGTAAAGATTTACACCCTCGGAAACCCTGTACAGGGTCGCTATGGGTCGGACCCGACTCGATGGCACTTAACAACAACAACAACAACAACATATATATAATATATGTATATATGTGTGTGTGTATATATATATATATAGAGAGAGAGAGAGAGTCCTGGTGTGGCACTTTAGGATCATCATTGGACTGCTAACTATAAGGCTGTTTGGTTCAAACCCACCAGCCTCTCCTCAAAAACCCTATACAGTGTCACTGTGATTCAGAATGAACTCTATAGCACTTAAAAGCAACTATATATATATATATACACACACACACACATATACATATGTATGGGCTTGTTAAGTTCTGTCGAGTTGGTTCTGACTCATAGCAACCTTGTATAGGGTTTCTGAGGATCATCTGGTGAGCTTGAACCACCAACCTTGCAGTTTAAACCGACCTTGCAGTCCAGCACATTAACCTGTAATGCCATACCAGGACAAAGAATCCTAAATAGCTAAAGCAGTCTTAAAGAATAAAAATAAAGTTGGAGGACTCACACTTCCTAACTTAAAAAATATACTATAAAGCAACAATCATTAAAACAACTTGATATTGGTATTATTAAGTTCCGTCGAGTCAGCTCTGACTTAATAGTGATCCTGTATAGGAGCTCTGGTAGCATAGTGGTTACAAATTGGGCTGCTGACCTCAGGGTCAGCAGTTCGTAACTACCAGCTGTTCCACAAGAGAAAGATGAGGCTTTCTGCTCCCGTAAAGATTTATAGCCTCGGAAACCCTATACAGGGTCTCTGTGAGTCGGCACCAACTCCATGGCACGTAACCACCACCATAGGATTTCCAAGGAGTAGCTGGTGGGTTTGAACCACCAACCTTGTGGTTAGCAGTTCAGTGCTGACCCTACAGTGCCACCCCAGGAGTTTTTGTACCCGATTGACCTGACCGCAATAGGGACTTAGGAGAGCATTTGCTAAGTAGTTGTTAGGTGCTGTTGAGTAGAACTGCCTCTCCAGGTTCCCAGTGCTGTAAGCAGACTTCCAGGTGTCTCTCCTGCAGAGCCACTGGGTGGATTTTCATCACCAACTTTTCACTTAGCAGCTGAGTGCTTATCCTTGGCACTGTCAAGACTTTTTAATAAGTAAATAACAGTATACTGAACTTCAGTGGTGATGAGTAAACTAGTAAGAGTTATCATTTGTTGGTAGTAGGACATCATCAGAGCTCCAGCTTATATTAACGGTGTAGAGACTAGAAAACTAGCTTGTCTTAAGGCAACATGTAAGATTATCAACTTGTTTCCAATAGTATGTCTCACCCCAGACAGACTGTCTTCTCCAGGTGAAAAATACTGTATGTCAGCAACAGAGCAGTACCGTAAACAACTTAGGGGATGGTGTCTAAGAAAGCAAACTTAAGGGATTTAGGATAAAATGTATTGAAATCCAATGATAGACAAGTGCTCTCTTTACTGGCTACAGTAAAATTCTGTTTTGTTTTTAAGGAGTATTACTACTAACAGGTTGATCTAGACCAAAGGTGGGGAACCTTTTTTCTGCCAAAATTTGTATCATCATTCATGGGCCATACAAAACGATCAACTTAAAAATAAGCCAGCTATATTTGGGCAAACATTTCATTAACTCACCACTAATGTGATGGTGTGGAGTCCTGGTGTGATGCTGGACTGCAAAATCATCTGAATCAGAAGGTCGGCGGTTCAAGCTCACCAGTCACTCCTTGGAAACCCTATATAGGATTGCTATGTGTTAGAACCAAGTCAACAACACTTAACCACAACAAATGCAATGATATGGTGCCTTAGAATAAGTACTGGACTGCAAGGTTGGTTTGAACCACAGGGTTGGTAGTTCTGACTCACCAGCCGCTTCTAAGAAATCCTATAAAGGGCCTCTATGAGTCAGAACCAACTCGATGGCACCTAATAACGACAAAAATGTGTTGGCTGAAACTGTGGTTGCCTTGGTAGGGCCAGACCAAATTACTTCAGGGGCCAGATGTGCCCCACCTCTGATCTAGATAAATACAAGGGAGCTTCAGAAAAGTTCAAGGGAAAATGTAATTAAAAGGTGATTGGATTTTCCCATGAACATTGTGAAGTCCCCTCACAGTGTGTTTTATGACTTAGATGATATTTTATTGTGTAACCATCTATTTTGCTTACAGAATTTTTCTTGTCAATGCCTTCTAAATATTTTTATTGTTTCCTTCCTTTGTCCATTTATCCATTTTTCCTTCTACCCTTCCTTCCTTCCTTCCTTCTATCTGTCCTCTACTTGCAGCTCCTCAGAGAAATTTTGAAATTGCCTTCAAGATGTTTGACTTGAATGGAGATGGAGAAGTAGACATGGAAGAGTTTGAACAGGCAAGTTGTCCTGGGGAATTCTTTTAAATATATGTAGTTCCCAGTTACAACAGGGTTCTGTTCTAATGACTCCATCAGGAATTGATTCTCACATAAGTTGAGTATCTTTTTGTGTGTGTGGTTTTCATTATGATTATCTTCTATTATCATTATTTTTATAAATCTACTCTTTGTCTTTGAAAGTTGGAAACATGAAAACTTACCAGATATACTTTAATACATGCATAAAAAAATACACATATTTTTTAAATCATAAAAATGTACCACAATAATGAAAAAGAAACATTGGATGATGTTGGCATTTTGTCAGTTGTAGTAATAATTCCACTTAAGGAAGGTTCTGGGTTATCTCTGAGAATGGTGATGACATTTCTAGTCAGAAAATTAGGGTTGTCTGTATGGTCCTTTTCGTTTTTACTTCATCTGTATTTCAGTAACATCTCATTGCTTCCAAAATTTGCCTATTGACTTGAGCAAAGTTGTGAACATTTGGGTCCATGTTTTCAAGCAACTAAAGCCCCTGATTTAGTTTAGGAAAAAACCTGAACTAATAATTCTTTGACTGTAAAACTTTTTGACAACCTCTCTCCTTCCTCTTTCTCAATATTTCCTTCTTCTAAAGTATTTCTTTGCTCTTTAAAATGCATTAAGTCCTGATCTGTCAGTTCCTCTTATTTGTGATGTGTGAGCTGTTGCATACTGGCAACGTCGGGTTCTAAATTCAGCGTTCTTGCTAGATGGACAATTTCCCACAAAACTCTTCCATCATGTATAATCCTCATAACTTGGCAACATTTTCCACATCCCCTGCATGCATTTTCCTGTAACTTCCTCTCAGAAAGATGCAAAGTTCTAGCCTGCTCTATGGCAGTGTTTTGAACAGTAAATTATAAAATTGAACATTAGCAAGTGACCATCTGAGAATGACAGCCTCAGCAAATTATACACTGCAGTTTTGTTACTAATGATGAGATGTCAAAAACTAATGATAGATGTACCAAAAAAAAAAATGGATGGTCTTAAGTGTGTTTGGTCAATACACTGATATTTAACACATTTTCATGTACTTCAGAAATACTTTAACACTATCCTAATTTCCAAAGAATCTAACGTAGTATCTATCCTCATTAATCTTACTTGTAACAAGTGTGGATTTCCCCTCTACTCTGAAATGTAAGGAATGATTTAAATAAATTATTAAGGCCAAGGTTGCTCTGATTCCCTAACATAAATTAGACTATCTGCCTCCATCTGGGCAAGCTAATCAATACTAATAGCATTATTTACCTAACAGTTCCTATGTACCAAGCAGTTCCAGGATATAAGAATAAATATGTTCTCAAAGGATTTCTATAAGAGAAGGGAAATGCTGCCACACTTTTGCCTTTAGTAGATCTTAGCCGTAGAGGAATTCTACTCCTCTGAATCCTAGATGATTACACTTACATGGAACTTCTGCCATAGAAGGGCCCCGGTGCCTCTCCAAACATAAGTATTATGGTTGCCAGAAAAAAATGCATATGTAGGTGAGCACAATTTTGTAATCTCAAAATGAGCAAAGAGGCCAATACTGCACAATGTGGAGGAAACTTTGAAGTGTGGCATATCTTTAAAATAAAACACTACACAGAGACAAATAACCATATATGCACCCTGAATCCATCTGCTACCTTCACCTTGCCATAATATTGCATTTTATAGATGGGTTACTGGTGCTGTATCGGGTAAGCACTGTACTGTTAACTTCAAGGTTGGCACCACCCTTTCCTTGAAAAACCTATACAGAGTCACTGTGAGTTGGAACCAGCTGACAGCACTTAACAACACTTACTGCTTACTATGCTACTTTTCATAAATTTCTTCCAGCTTTTCTCAATCTGTTTTAGTGACAAGGGTTTGAACTGAAACAGTCTTATTTGTAGTCCTAGAAGGAAAAGAATGACATCGCCTCAAGTTTTTCTAATTTTAAGAAGTTAAAGCTTATTCGCCTTGAGACTCTTTGTTTTGCTCATTAATTCAACTTCTTTTGCCTGCCTTTGGATTTTGCTTGAATAATTATGAAGTCTGTCATTTCTGTATAGATAACTCCCAGTCTAACATGGTATATCTTTATTTTTCAAGACTATGCCATTACTCCTCTAAGTTGTTTATCAGTATAATGTTCATAACATTCTTCTTCTTCTGTTAACTGCAGAAGCTGTGATGCTAACCCTTCGTGTCTCCCTGTACTGATAATCTGTGTTCCTTTTCTTTGTTTTTTGGTCAGTTTAATAAGGGACATATCAATTTTATTCCGTTTTTTTTTTAATATATATATAGTTTATCTGTTTTCTAATTCAGTTGTAAAATATAAAAAGGTACAGTCAGTGTGGAAACCAGTTTGGCAGTTCCTCAAAAAGTTAACTATAGAATTACTATACAGCCCAATAATGGTCATTACAGCGTTTTTCACAGTGGCCAAGGGATAGCAACAACCCAAATTATCTATCAGCAGGCTTAAAAAAAAATATGTGTCCTATGCATATGAGGGCTGTTCAAAATGTTTATGGAAAATGTGTATTATGAAAAAAACTATGCATGATTTATTAAAAAAAAAAACTTTTGCATCGAAATAAACTCATATTAACTTGCTATAACATGTCTAAACGGAGTCTAGTTTGAGTTACTAAGAAGGTTAAGAGACATCGGTTAAAAAAGAATTCAGAGCAACCTGAATTCTTCTAAAATGAAGCAAGAACCAACATCAAATGTTTGATGAAGCTTGGGGTGGAAGAATGTTGATATCATTGATGCTTTACAAAAAGTTTACAGGGGCTATGTCCCAAAGAAATCAGCAGCTTACAAGTGAATAATTCATTTAAAAAATGTACCAGATAGTGTTGAATATGAAGCCCTCAAGAGCAGACTGCATTAATTTGCAAGGAAAAAGCCTGATTTTGTTCATGCCCTCGTTGAAGATGATCAACAGCAGAAACAATTGGCAAGACTGTGTCCATCTCACCTGGTTCGACTTACACAATTCTGACTGAAAAATGAAAGTTAAGCAAACTCTCTGCTCAGTGGGTGCCAAAACTGTTGCATCCTGATGGGCGGCAGACAAGAGCAGAGCTTTCAATGGGAACTTGAAACAAGTGAGATCAAGATCCTGAAGCATTTCTTCAAAGAATTTTAACAGGAAGTGAAGCATGGCTTTACTAGTTTGATCATGAAGATAGAGCACAGTCAAAAAACAGTGGCTACGAGGAGGTGGAAGTGGTCCAGTCAATGTAAACAGACTAGTCAGGAGCAAAGCTCATAGCAGTGATTTGTTTTGTTTTGTTGTGGTCATTGATGCATAAGGTATTTTGCTTTGTTGACTTTTTGGAGGGCCAAAGAATGGTAACACCTGCTTATTATGAGATTGTTTTGAGAAAGTTAGCCAACGTTTTAATAGAAAAATGCCTAAGGAAAGCTTCTTCCGAGAGCCCTCCTCCCCCACAACACTGCTCCTGCTCATCCTTCTCATCCAATCCCGATTTGGCTTCTTCTGACTTCTTTTTGTTTGCTGATGTCCTGGTGTGACACTGTAGTATCAGCAGTGGGCTGCAAATCACAAGATTGGTAGTTCAAATCCACCAGCTGCTCCTCAAAACCCTATACAGGGTTGTTACGAGTCAGAATTGACTTAACAACAACAGTGGTCAAAAAGGTTGTGTTGACATGGTTAAATTCCCAGGACCCTCATTGCTTTAGGGATGGACTAAATAGATGGTATCATTGTTTACAAAAAGTGCCTTGAACTTGATCAAGCTTATGTTGAGAAATAAAGTTTATAATTTGTTTTTATCTTTTAATTCCATTTTTCCATGAACGTTTTGAAATCACCTTGTACAATATATTATTCCCCATCCATTGAAAACATGAGTGAAATTGGTCAGACACAAAAGGAAAAATATTGTATGATCTCATTTATTTGAATTATCTAGAATAGTTAAATTCATAGAGATCAAAAGTTTATTCATAATGATCAGGACTGGGAGAAGGAAAAAATGGGGAGTTATTGCGAAATGAAATTTCTGTGTAGGGTGATGATAAACTTTTGGAAATGAATGGTCATGATGGTTGCACGTGGTGAGTGTAATATCACTGAACTGTACACCTAAGCAGGGTTGCAATGCCAGATTTATATGTATCTTTTATCACAATAAAGTTTCATTTAAAAAACTACATATGTAACACCGAAATCAATTCTTGTGGCACTTCTGTGATCATTCACAGCCATGCAGAAGGATGAAAACTTTGAATCACCCAGTGTGCACCTTCCCAAATGACATCAAATATTGTGATGCCCTGCCTTCTTGTTTCTCCTCTCTTACCAGTTTTTTAAAGTATCCTTTATGTGGTCTTTTTTATTGCCATGTTTTTCACATTTGTGTGGTGTTTATTGGTGACTTTACTATTAAATGACCTCCGGAAAGAGTTCTGAATTGCTGTCTTGTGTTCCTGAGCACAAGAAGGCTGTGATATGCCTTACAGAGAAATGCATGTGTCAGATAGGCTTCATCTAGGTCTGTGAGGGGGCTTCAAAAGTTTGTAGAAGAAATTCATTATCTTTTAGTTCTAATTTTCCATGAACTTTTTGAAGCCCCTTTGCAGTTTTTATTATTGTTAGCCTTGCATTTAATGTTAATGAATCAACTATATCATACTTCCAGAAAAAGGAAGAGTAAAATCATTGATTGTTAATCAACTGCTACTCCAGAAAGTACTAGAATAAACATTTGTGGTGCATGATTGTTGTTGTTGTTAAGTGTTGTCAGTCAGTTCCAACTAATTGCCAACCTGTGGCTAACAGTCTAGTGCTGATCCTACAGCGCCACACTACAATGAAGCTATGAAAATGATGGAAAGACAGATAAATTTGTGAATTTATGAGATGACAACTGATTTTTTTTTTTTTTTTAAGAAAAGTGTAATGGACAGCTTTCTTGTGAGGCTATAAGCCCAAAGACTTTCAGTCACATTACCTGGGTCAGAAGCATGTTAAAACTTTTTTGCCTAGTGCTGGCTGGCTCACATGGACAAGATAGCAGAGTAAGCAGACCATCTATAACAAAAAACATGGGAGCCCAAGGGACTCATATACAGAGGGTGATCCTGGAACCCTGAGCTTGAGAGGATAGGAGAAGGAAGTGGATTGAGTACTAACCGGAAGAGGAAGCAGAACAGGAGCAGTGAGAGAGAAGAAAAACAGGCGGATTTAGGCTGACATGAAGCAGTATGGCTATTTGAGCTTTGTCAAGTAGCTGTCAATACATCGACCGGTGGGCAAAGGACTTGGCTGGAGGTTAATAGCAAAGGAGATGCAGTTCTCCCTTGTTCCCATGCCCTTCTGGGTAGCCGGAGGTGGCTACTCCACACCTTCATCCACCCTGCAGTCAGTGGCACCCCATCCTGCCAGGATTTCAAGATTAATACTAAGACTTCAGAAATGGATAATGCATTGAAAGGGCAAAGAATTAATGGAAGACCCCATTAAGGAGGTTGAAGGCCAATCTCTCAATGTTCATCTGTAATGCTGGACTGCAAAGTTGGTTTGAACCACAAGATCAATGGTTCAAGCTCATCAGCTGCTCCTTGGAAACTCTGTACAGGGTTGTTATGGGTCGGAACCACCTTGACAGCACATAAGAACAACAACAACAGAGGAACAATCAGAAAAAAAAGAACAAAAAATATGAAGAAAGCCTAAGTTGTATGTGAGACACTATCAAGAGATTAGAATTCCAGAACAGGAAAAAAACAAATAAATAAATAGGGAAATTTGTCCAAGTATTGTTGGTCGAAAACTTTCCTAACATCATGAAAGATGAGAAGCTATGCATTCTAGAAGTTGAATGAACTCTAAATAGGATAGTTCCCAAAAGAAATTCACCAAGACATAATCAAACTTTTCAAAACCAGAGACAAGGAAAGAAGCCTGAGAGCAGCTTGAGGAAAAAGTAAAGTTCCCCACAAAGGAGAACTAACAAGACTACCCTCTGACGTCTCAGCAGAAACCATGCAAGGCACGAAGGAATGGGAGGACATAAGTAAAACTCTGAAAGAAAATATTTGGGGTATGAACCATTGGGGTGTGTAAAGAAAATGAAAATCATAAATCATATATCCAGTAAAGTTGTCCATAAATTTGAGAGCAAAATTAGAACATTTCCAGATAAATAGTAATTTAAAAAATTTGTAAAAACCAGAATGATCTTATTGGGAAAAAAAAACACAAACTAAAGAGAATCCACTGGACAGAGAACCAACAATAGCAGACAGCAACATGAAATTAAGATGCATGAATATACGATTAATATACAGGAATTCAACCCAAATATAGAGGTATGCAAAGTAAACAAAACTACAAGACTGAAATAGAGAACCAGAGATATCAGTTTACAACAACAAAAAACACCATAAAGTAGAAAGAAGAAATAGTGTAGTTACAGAATTTCTAAAAAAAAGTTCAAATTTAAAGAGGAACTCAAATAGATTTCAAGGAAAAAATAAAATAAAAATTTAAAACAAAAAATAAGTCCCTTTTTGTGGTTGCGCATGTGAGTGTGGTAGCTCTATACAATAAGCACTGGACTGCCAAGGACAAAGTCAGTGGTTTAAGTCTATCAGCCACTCTGTGGGGAAAAAAATGAGATTGTCTGATCCCACAACGATTTACCGCCTTGGAAACCACCCTATGTTGTTGTTGTTGAGTGCTGTGGAGTCAGTTCCAACTCTTAATGACCCTGTATAGGGTTTCCGAGGAGCAGCTGGTGAGTTTAAACGCCAAACCTGCAGTTCAAACCAACCTTGACATGGAGTGCCTAGCCTATGGCACCATACCTGGACTCTATATGAGTTGGTACTAATTCAAGGCCACTTAACAACAACAACATGATTACAAATAATATATAAAATAAAATAATAATAGACATTTAACAAAGGTAAATCCTTTGTTATACTCATAAATCTTGTTTCAATTATTGTTGTTTTTCTAGTTGACACTTTAAAAATTATTACCGAGAGAATTTATGTATTATTCTTTAATGTTTATCTATATATATATCCCAGTTTTAATTTCATAATAGCTGTTTGTTGTTGTTTACCTAATGTTGTTGTTGTTGTTAAATGCCATCAAGTCGGGTTCTGACCCATAGCGACCCTGTATAGGGTTTCCGAGGAGTATCTGATGAACTTGAACTGCCAACCTTGCAGTTCAAAGAGCTTTGCAGTCTGGCGCATTAACCCACAGTGCAACCCCAGAACTCCATTTACCTAATAAAGAGGTAGAAATGACTGCGGGGAGATTTCTGTAACTTTTTTTTTTTTCAGTAATCAAAATCAAACTTGCCTCAAAACTCTCATTTATGTAGTTAGTCCACTTGTTGCTAGTCTCAAAAATTGGTGTTGTTGTTAGGTGTTGTTGGGTCAGCTCCAACACATAGTGGCTGGATACACAACAGAATGAAACACTGCTTGGGCCTGGGCCCTCCTCACAGTTATTGTGTGTGAGCCCATTATTGCAGCCACTGTGTCAGCCCATCTAGTTGGGGGTCTATTTTTTGCTGACCCTCTACTTTACCAAGCATGATGTCCTTTTCCAGGGACTAGTCCCTCCTAACAACATAACAAAAGGATATGAGATGAAGTCTCGCCGTCCTTCCTTCCAAGGAGCGTTCCGGCTGTAATTCTTCTAGGATAGATTTGTTTGTACTTGTAGCAGTCCTTTGTACTTTCAATCATCGTTGCCAACACCATAATTTCAGTGCATAATTTCAGTGCCAACACCATCTTCTATATCCATTGTCCAGCTTTCACATGCATAGGTGATTGCATTCAGCACACCTTAGATCTCCAAGTGACATGTTTGCCTCTTAATACATGAAGGAGGTCTATTGCAGCAGATTAATGCAATGTGACGTTTGAGTTCTTGAGCACTGATTATGGATCTAAGTAAAATGACATTCTTAATAACGTCAACATTTTCTCTGTTAATCATGATATTGTTTATTGATCCAGTTGTGAGGATTTTTGTTTTTCCTGCATTCAGTTACAATCTATTCCAAAGGCTTTTATCCTTCTTCAAAACTGTCATTTAAAGTATAGTCAAAGATTGAACTAATTCCCCATGCTTTTTGTGGGGATTATTTCATATTGACTTTGTATGTCATGCATCTTTCTAATAAATGTGCTCTATCTCTAAGATGTCTTGCATTTGCCTGGAGCTACGCTACTTCTCTTCTGCAACTTCAGAGTCAGAAGTATGAAATTTTACAGAGTCTCCTGAGATAGGAGAGAGATTATTTTAATTGTTCTCCTAGTTGTGTGAGAGAGGTTTTGAGCCTCAAAAACAACTGTATTTTATTTTCTGAAGAGAGTTTCCAAGCGCATCCCGATTTTAAAGGCATCACTCTACCTGTGTTAGAACCCTGGTTGTTACTTGTTAGCCACATCACCCCGAGTAGTAGTTCTGTGCTTCAGTTTTCTCATCTGTGAAATGAGTTTAGCAATAGGATTTACAGATAAGATTGCTGTGAGGATTGAGATAGTTGTAATAAGTGCAGCCAAACAGTAAACAATAACAAAGCCAGCCATTATTGTTACTCTTCTACATTTTCTTCACCTTATAATTTTTTTTTCTGTGTGGGGTTTGCTTCTTTATTAGGTTCAGAGCATCATTCGCTCCCAAACCAGCATGGGTATGCGTCACAGAGACCGTCCTACTACCGGAAACACCCTCAAGTCTGGCTTGTGTTCGGCCCTCACAACCTACTTTTTTGGAGCTGATCTCAAGGGGAAGCTGACAATCAAAAACTTCCTTGAATTTCAGCGTAAACTTCAGCATGATGTTCTGAAGCTAGAGGTAGGTTTTTCTTAGATTTTAGAAAATGGGGCACTATCCCCATCCTGACGCTACAGGGTTGGAAGGGCCTGTACTGTGGGAATTTTTTCAATCTTCCTCCAGCTGTGGGAACTGATGGATTTGAATCTTATCAGTGATCAACAAGCTGACAGCAGGGAGGAAATAACATGTTCCATGAAAATGCCACGCAGCAAGGTGGTTCCGGGTCTGAAAGCCAAAAGAGTCTAGATTGAAAACCATAGTTGTCTTTGGATACCCAGCTTGAAGAGAGAGAAACTCAGAGTCCTCCCACAGTTGAGGGGGTAATTGTTGTTGTTGTTGTTATGTGCCGTGGAGTCGGAACTGAGGGGGTAATAGACAGCTCTTATTGTAAAAATTTGCAACGATAGTGAACAGCTGGAAACACAAAATGTTAGAATAAAGATATATACGTGTTTAGAGATTTACAAGTTCCTTTTCCACTCAGAGTTTAGACCCGCAATCTCCTCAGTCCCTATGCATAATTCTCTAAGAGCATGTTAGTAGTCTGTGTGTGTATTTATTTAATCACATGTGTTTGAGTTTATTAAATTGGCTGCTAATTCTATGCAATTCAACACATTCCTCAAATATCTTCTGTGTTCACTTTTGTCTGGAGACAAAAATATAAATTCTGATTTTTTGAGATATTTTGTTTGTAATTCCCTTCCACTGATGTTTCTCAGTCTCTCTGTTTGTTTTATTAATATGTCCCCTACTTTAATGTTATTTGAATTTGAAAACATTAGTGAGCCTTAAAAACACATGAAAATATTGGCCAAAAAAAGACTATGTTTTCAAACTACATATTTTACTTCTCTGTCTGCTTCTCCAAGATTCTGATATGCTACTCCCACGTCCTCCTCCACCTGATCCAACTGGACAGTTTGAAAAATGGACAGCACTCTTTTTAAAGTTTTCTCAATCAGTACTGAGTCTTCCCAACTAGATTTGTGGTTCTTTGAGGAGGGTGGGCAGCGGAAGAATCATGCGCTTTGGTGCTAGTTAGACCTTGGTTAACGTTTTCCTTCCGTCACTCCCATATACGACAACAGACGGTTCTTTATCCACTCGGAGCCTGGCCGCTCATTTTTAAAATAGGGTAGTGGCTAAGTGAGATGATGTTATTAGCATAGTGGTTACGAATTGGGCTGCTAACCACAGGGTCAGCAGTTAAAAACTACCAGCTGTTCTGCAGGAGAAAGATGAGGCTTTCTGCTCCCATAAAGATTTATAGCCTCGGAAGCCCTATATAGGGTCGCTATGAGTTGGAAACGACAACATGGCACATAACATCAACAACAACAACCTGAGATACGTGTGAAACCTCTAGCAAGTATTCCTTCACTTTCTCTTGTTTGCCCCCCATATCCTAGGAGAGTGGAACACACATGATAGGCACCTAAACAGTCATCTCAGATGAGTGATTGAAAGGCTTGACTTCCATTTTGCAATCATTTTCTGATAAAATATATGGAAAGTGGCAACAATTTTTGTTTTCAGTCAATACTTTTTTAAAAATGTTTTATTGTGAATCATGTGATAGTTTACATGGGAAAACATTCGCTTTACAGTCATCCTGTTGTATATCATTTCATTGCCATGGTTACAGTCCCCTCCATGCATAATCAAACAACCAAAGGGTATACCCCACAAGCCTGCCCCCCACCACCACCCCCCACCCCCGGTCATCAGCACACAGCTCCTCTTCCTCTCTGGGTCTAGAGTTCCCAGCTGCTCCATCTCTCCACATCATCCTCTCTGCCTCCATCTGTGGCGTCACTGCTTCTCTGGCAAGTCCCCATACTCCACTCTTGTCCCTTGATGGTTCCAGGGACCTCCACTCCTGAACTGCAAAGTCAACCACTCCCCTCCTTTGCTACAAAACATCCACCTTTACATTTCTAACCCTCACAGTCAGTCTTCAGGCAACACTTGTAATTTCTTTTTCCAAAGTTTGGGTCCGTTCTCTCATCCCATGAATTATGATGTCATTGTCACAGCCAAGAGGAGGATGGAGAGACTCTTGTTGTTGAGTGCCATTGAGTCGGTTCTGGCTCATAGCGACTCTGTATAAGGTTTCCAAGGAGTGACTGGTGAGTTTGAACTGGCGACCTTGTGGTTCAAACTGACCTTGCGGTCCAGTGCTTTATCCCATAGTGCCACACTGGGACTGCAATTAATAGTATCTTAGTAACTTTCCTCTGGGTTTTCTAATTGCATCATTGTTTCTCTTACCAGTTGTATTTGAATATTTAGTTATCTAAATTTCAGATCAAGGAGATTTATTTTTCCATTTAGTTGCTTGTTTCTTCTCACCTCAGTAACTTTGAGAGTGAAGAGGATGCTATTTAGTTTTCAGGCTTTATTTCCAGAGGGTTTAGGGAAGAGGAAAGAAGCCCATGGACACTGTTGAGTGTCCAGTATGAGCCAGGCAGTGTACATCTATTACATGGCTTCTTCATTTTCCCACCAACCCTGTAGTGTTCCGTGGGATGGTGATTGTAACTGATGTAGAAATAGAAACTCAAAGAGGTTAGTCACCTGCTAAAAGCCAGACAGCTAGTAAGTGAAAGAGCCACAATTCCAACTCAGGTCTGCTCCACACTAACTTTCAGGCTCCTTCTGTGACTGATTTAACTAACTTTTAGTCTGATATATCGCAATTTCTGTGCCTGGGTTATTATTTGGGTCTGAGTGCTCAAGAAAATCAAATTTCTGAATTTTAGGGACAGAAAAATAATTTCATTGCTACAGTTTTCTTCCCCAGCACTGCCGTCTCCTAGTCCACTCTAGTGAGTGTTTTAATTGTGAAAGGAAATACACTCTTTGTGTGTGTGTGTTTCCGATGCTACTTAAATTTAGCAATTTAATTTCTCTCCCTGACCATCATTAGCTTATTTGAATTAAAGAAGAAACATTTTAATGCTCTTAAGAGTCTTGGTGTGGCGCTGTAGGATTAGCGCTTGACCATAAGGTCAGTTTGAACCACAAGGTCAGCAGTTTAAGCTCACCAGCTGCTCCTTGGAAACCCCATTCAGGGTAACTATGAGTTGGAACTGACTAAATAGCACTTAACAACAACAATAAATCTGTACTGGTAAAAATAAAAACAAAAAAAAGTGCTAGTAAAATTTTATTATTGTAACCAGATATAAAAGTTGTATTTTTTTATAGACGGGATTGTTGTGAAGTGCCATAGTGACCCTATATAGGGTTTCAGACTGAAAGAACCAGATATTTTTACAGCACAGAAATGGCAGGTGATGAGTAGCCTCCATATTTGGACATGGACCCTCAGAGCATTACAGGGTCACCCAGAAGATAAAATAAAAGTAGATCACTACAGTGGTGTGGGGAGTCGGGGGTGAGTTTAAAGGAATAATTTGAGAATACACAATTAGTTTAAGATAAAATCTCTTTTGAGGTTATTAAAAATTCCATCTAAGGCTACCAAGAACTATTGAGTTGAGCTCCGTGGAGACGGGTGCCAAGTCTAATTCCAGTTAATATATTCATTGATTTCCTGAAAGCTGCAACAAGTGGGATGTTATTAAAAATGAAAACAGAAAGAGAGTTCTTTGAAGGATTATGGTTGATTTCAATTAGGGAGGGGGAAAAGGACCTGTCATTATGCCAAAGAAAAGTAAAAACTTGTTTATACAAGAAGGAAACATCCATCTCTAGATTGTAAAACAAAGAAACTGAGTAGGTGTCATTCAGTAGAATTCCTGTCTTGCATGATCATTTTATAAATGTTGGGGTTCACAAGCTTATTGCATAACCAGTCAGATTATCGCAATTTAGGAAGGCATGAGTATCCAAAAAAGACTTACTGTCAGGTAGAGATTGATGGAACTCCTGAGACTGTCCCTTATCACCCTTCAGGTCTGAGAAAGGCAAACAATTAACAGGTCTCAGGAAACCCGTAACACCAGTGGCATACACACATCTAGAGTAATCAACCATTGGAGATCAAAAGGGCAGTTTTTACCAAAGGACAAAGTTCAAAAAGAGTAGGAAAGGCAGAGGAGTGGAAATGGGAAACAGGCAGGAAGTGGGATCAGTGATGTTGCATTGTGGGGTTGCAATTAATGAGAAAAGCTAAGTGTGAGTTGTTGAATGGAACGCTGTAAGCCTTCACCCAATTTACAATAAAGAGTTGGAAAAAAAAAAAACAGAAGGCATCTTTTTGTCATCTGTAGGCAAATTAGACATGGTTGAAAGGAAAACAAGGCCTGTCATATTCCCAGTGTTTAATCAACTTGACATAACTAGGTTTGTTCAGTCAGGAGGTAAGGCAAAAAGGAAACATAAAGAACTATGCTTATTAATCTCATCTGTCAGCAAAAGAAGTAAGCTTTAAACTATTTAATGTTAGTTAAATATTAAAAGATTTTTTTAAAATGTGTAACTACAACTAGATGATTGAAAGCGCCCAAGGAAATTCCAGGGTAACTTAACCTTTTAAATAATCAAGAAACTTTACATCTTTGTGTCTATCTCTTAAAAGTGCTGAAGTAGAATTAACCTACTTTGCTCTGATGCAGAACAACATGTTAAGAGACAAACTTTAGCTCCTACTAGACCAAAAGGTCATGGGAAAGGGCATTAGAAGGCAAGAGAGCTGTTAATCAGACACATTCTAGAACTACAGCACTCTTGGCAAAGCAGTTTTTTATTTTCTGAAAAAGGGACTTCATTATATAAATTCAATAATGAGTGTTGGCTCTTGTTTTAATTAAGCCCAAGAACTGAAACGAAGTGTTCAGTAGGTTACCAATTTTGCCTCTCTGAAGCTTCATGTGGATAGTAATAAATCTAGTTTCTTTTATTCTATCCTCTGAATTTTCCAGAAGTTGATAAAAGAGTTTATAAAAGAGTACTTAGCTCTATTGCATATTTATAACTTTAATCAGCCAAGTGTTTGTTTTAAAGTATTTTTTTTAGAAGAACTATTAAAACAGCAACAATAATATTCC